TATTTGCCAATAAGCATCCTTTAAGTCCAAGCTGGAAATGTATACTGCCTTGGGTAGTCTGCCTAATATACCATCGATTTGTGGAAGAGGATACGCGTCCTTTTTCGTCACAGCATTGACTTTCCTGCTGTCGAGACATAATCTCACCTTGCCAGGCTTCTGAACAAGGACAACTGGAGAAGACCAAGGACTATTTGATTCCTCAATAACTCCAAGCTTAATCATACGGTCTACTTCAGCGTACAATAACTTTTCGATTGCTGGAGATACCGGGAAATGGCGCTGTTTAACTGGTTTTGCATCGCCTATGTCTATAGAATGCGAAATAAGTGTGGTCTTTCCAAGCCCTGACACAGCAAATGAGGGAAACTCAGCGACTACCTTTTCCAAACGAACCTTCTGCTCCGCAGATAACTCATGAGAATCGGACGAAATTTCATTTATTTGCATATCCGGAGGAAGAAGATTAAAATTTTCCCAAAAATCGATTCCTAAATATAAATCTTGGCTTAAAGAAGGTATTATTTTTAAATCTAAATCTTTACTAATATTCTTATAAGTAACTAATGTGCGCAATCGCCCAACCACTTCCTGCTTTTTCCCATCTGCCGTGCAAGCTGCTGACATAACTGGCTTAAAAGGTTCTCTACTTCGAATAATTTGCTTTGCCAAATTTCCGCCAATCACGCTGATTGCTGCTCCTGTATCCAACAGCCCTGTAACTATCCTGTCCAACAACCGAACCTCAGCATAAGGTCGTTTATCATTCCCTTTGAACCGGATTGTATTTATAGTTTTTACGGATCGCCAATATGATCGCATGCGTTTTGCCTGCCTAGATACGGGTTTGGCTGGAGCTGCAACATCACTATCAATAAGCTGAGCTTCGATTAGTTGAGGCCAAACCAAATGCTTAGTTTTCGCCCCGCTCGAATCCTTCGGAAAAATGTTTATGCTACTTGACGGTTCTATTGGCTCAGCTCTGTATTCGTGCTTTTGTTTTTCGGAGCACCCAGTTGCTGGCGGTACTGCGTGCCCTTTTTCACGTTTTTTTGGCATCGAACACAGGAAGGCTTAAAAATATTTTTCGCCCCACAGCCATAGCAAAAGATCCTTCTCTTATCCTCGCAGTCTTGGTATCGGTGACCCTCTTTATGGCAATTCCAACATATTAATGCTAGAGCGCCGATTTCTTCTTCATCGTCGACATCTGAAAATTCTACAGGCTCATCCAACTGCATTTCCTCGACCAACTCCGCCACTTGCTTGCGAAAAGGAACTGTCTTTTGATAGCCCTGATTTTTCCTGACCTCATCCAGAAAGCTTTCACGACGGCGACAAATTTCCCTTAACCGATCCACAGAATGAATGGATAAATTCAAAATCTCGTGCCTTATTTCGGGTCTCAAATTCCTCTTGAGAATCTCAACCACGGTATACTCGTCTATAGGCACCTCTAAGCCATCCATCATCTGCATAATGGCTTCATAAAAACTGTCGAAATTCTCTCTCTCCTTTTGCTTTCGATCGCGAATTGCCTCCCGAATGTCAACGTCGCTTCGAGTATCCCTAAACTGTTTCCTCAAAGCTTGGCAAAGAAAATCCCAACCCCATGGCATTGGAGCCGTCTTGTGGAACCGCCAATAAAAGTCTCGGGCTTTACCCTCGAACAGAATGCTTGCATTACCACAAAGTGTGTTGAAATCCGATGCCAGGGTCTGTCGTGTAAGAGCTTCGACTCTATAGATAAAATTATCAATATTAAGTCCGTCTTCGTTTCCACTGAAGCGAATTTTCCACCCATTCATAATATGAGCAACCTTATCAGGCCTTTGCGATAGCTCGGAAACTCCGCTTCTATGGGATCCGTGTGCAGACCCGGGACCAGGACCAGGACCAGCATCCAAATCGATATTCCCTAGACCAAAAGGAGACGCATTACCAGCATCAACAAGCCCCCCTCTTTGAGACAGGTTTTCATTAAGCGGCCGCAAATGCTCAGAAATATTTGTTTGAATTAATTGAGCCATTTGCGCCGACAGTTGAGCTAATAAATCATTCTGCATTGCTCGAACTGCTCGAGATACGGCATTCGCTATTACTTCCGACTGCACTGCGTTACTTTCTTGTATTTGACCAGACGCAGACGGAGCTGGTGAACTCTCTTGGTTTGATCGAGTTTGCCCCCTTGTATTTGGAGGCGGAGGTTTTTCAAAACAAACAACATTGCAAGATGGGCATGTGGTTTTCTTTTTGGAATGCGCTAAAATACAGGCTTTATGAAATTCGTGCATGCATTTGGTTCTAAACGTGGTGGTTACGGTTAAAGTTTTTCCGCAGAGCGCGCAAATCGCTACTGGGGTCTCGGGAACATCTTCCTCATCACCCATTTTCATTAAATACTTAAATATAGTTTTAAAGATAAATAATAATTAACTATCTATAATTGTACGCAAAAAATATTTTAATAACTAACCTACCCTAACAAAAACAGTCTCTGCCAATTGCTTTTAATTCTCTCCTTTCGTTTTATCTACCTAAAGTTCAATGCCCTCAGTGGTCGAACAGCTGATCGAACTCTTTTCGCTTTGCTCTAAAGTTCTCTGCTTAAAGCTTATTTAGTTTGTATGCAGACTTCGCGACGAGAACATTGAATAAAAGTGAGAAGCAAGTGAGAATTAAAAGAATTTTGCTTAAAGAAAAACCGGAACGAAATAAAATATAATTCAATATAAATAAATTCGGAAACAATATAATTTTGCCCCTAGCGTGACTAATCCCTCAAAAAAAACCAAATTGAAACATAAACCGAGTCAAGTGCATAAAGAATAAAAAACGAGAAAAAAACAACAACGGCTTTGTCTTGGGCATGCGTACGGACTGCGCTTATCTGTTGTCAAACGACAACAACAACGATAGCGATTGTGGTCAGCGAGCGGTCGCTCTAACTGTTATCCAAGCTATTTCGTCCACGCACCCTTTACAATCACTTAAAGTATACCAGTTTGTTCATGAACGTGGCCACTTGACTTAAATTTGTTTTTTTTTTTTTTTTTAAGTTTTTTAAAAGTGTATCCAAGCGTTCGACAAGTGACTGATTCTACTCTTTTTTTTTTCGGAATGAGTATTTAGTGTTTTACTACAGACGTGGCTAGGCAAACTGTTGAAAAAAACTGTGGGCCTATGAATCCTATGCGGCTGAAAGATAAACTCTAAAAACTCAAATAAACTGTGTGTAAAAATAAAAACATGATTTTGCTACTCTTCTTCTTCAGCCGTGGTCGGTACCAAAACTGTTTTGTTTAATTTTGGTTACCGCTGTCCGATGCGCCTGAGTCAGTGTTAAGCAAAAACAAGAATAAGTGAAAACATGAAGGTAAGAATTTGTCAAGACAACATTTATACCCTTTGTGAATAAAAGTGAGTATTTGTGTAGGTGTGTCTGGGTACTGCACTGAAAAAAAATCAGCCTTAACGTTGGGCGCCAGAATAATATTAATAATTGTGATATAATAAATAATAATTTATAAATGTAACGAACATTAATAAATTTTTGTTTTGCGGCCTGATGTTGGGCTTGATCACTGAGCGCACGCAATGTCTACCTCGGCTCTGGCTCGTCAGCAATTGGGGGTGTTGTTCTTGCTCAGAAATCAAGGCGGCCTAACTAATTATTAACAAATTCAATTTGCGTGCTGCGACAAGCAAAAAAACTACTTCGAACACATCCTACATTTTTTGGGCTATTGCAGTTGGCCAAGAGAGGCCAGGCACTTAACTCGATCTGTTACCGCATCTCCACCTCTGCTGTTAATGAGGCTGGCTTTGCCCACCCTTCCGTCGGCCGTTCCCCCTTCCCTTCACTCCCGGAACAGCCCCTTTGCGGCATTGGTTAATCAAGGCATCGTCCGCCGAGGACAAACATTAAAATTTAAAACATTATAAAAATTTATTTATCGACTAAAAAAAAAACAGTAAACTAAAATTTGGGAGCACTCCATGATTTCTTAATAGATACACATATATATTAATAAGAGACAAATAGCAAAAATTATAAAATGTAAGATAAGGTATAATAGACAATATAAATTATGATTTGGGTGCAGATCTTAATAATAACGTGATGTTCTAATTTAATTTAGTTCTTAATTACTTAAGGCATTTGATTGAACAAAAATAAATATATCTTTACGGAGGAGGCAAAAAAAATTAATTTAGTTAGCTAAGAACCTGACCATTTACGATATTCGCCAGAATGCAGGGTGACTCGAGTTACTTTGTCTCTTCCCACTCGAATTCCACTCAATAGTTTTAGTTATACTTTTTCTTCCATTTCTTTCTATCTTCCTTTTGAAAGTCAAAAAAATAACTACTTTTTTTTCTCTTTTTTTTTCCCAAAATCTATATTCTCTTTGCTTTTCTTTTACTCCTTTAATAGCTTTCCTCGCGATTTTACTCTGCACCACGAAATCATTATGCTTTTCATTTTTTTTTTGAACATTTAAATAAAAATGTATATGTTTTCGCTCACCATTATTGTCGCTGCGGATCCAACGAAGAAAGCGCTTTCTTGAAGGTCGCTGAAACGCTGCAAAAGAATTCACTTTTTTTTTTTTTTTGGTAAAACAGATCGTGGGGCAGACAAGTCTAGAGATTATTTCTTCTCTTTTTCTTTCACTTTCAAAAGGGGACTGGAGGCGAATTTACATTTTTTTTTACATCGGCGTAAAATGACAAACAAACTCAAATCACTCTCACATGTACAAATATAAAAGAAATATCAAAACTGAATCTTAATAACTAAATTTTATAATTATTTTAACACATGCTTTTTTCCTTCTTTTTTTTTTTTTTTTTTTGAATTTTCTTTTTCTCCCTTTTTCTCTTCCTTTTTTTTTTCTTTCCTCTTGAGCTTAAATTTTCTACATTTTTGGGTTAATTTCTTCCCTTATTTTTTTGCTTTTCGTTTCCCTTTTTTTACACCGCCGAATTTGCACTGCCGATATTTCTTTTTTTTCTGCCACCACGGGCCACAATTACTTTTTACGCCTAAGTTCGGGTCGGGACATAGGAAGTTACATAATTTAAAATTCAATTATTTAGCACTTTCCGTCGATCTCCTCCGCTCGCTTTGCGAGGCGGTCGCGTTACCACTGTTTCCCTTCCCTCGAAGAACTCCAGGCGAAGGTGGATTTCGACGATCGGCTTGAGTGTTCCCACTTCGTTCGGGTGTTGCGGAAAAAAATACAGCAAAGCTGCAGGCCTAATGTGAACAAATAAATTTCTTATATTTTTGCCATCACATTTTTTCCTTTTTTTTTCTATGCAAGCATCTACCAAAAAAAAAAATCTCTTTAACCGCCCTTTACCCCAATAACTCACCTAGTTTCGTTGCCTTTATCTGCACTTTGAATTATTGGCTGTGTGCTATACACCGCCTCTCTTCCTTCCGATCGAATATTTCTAACACCATAAATAAAACTTTTCACTGTGGTAACAACCGCTCTGGTAGAAGGCTCAAAAGGAAAAGAACGCTGATGCCGCCCAATTATGGCGGCAAGCCCCTTAACAGCGAAAGAATAGAAATACTCTCTCCAGATCAGTGCTTGACACTTAGCCCTGTTGACCCGCCACATTTGCCACGAACTGATACCGCCACCTGCTCGTAGATGGCGCCAGCAACTGGGTTCAGTTTATGCTACCAGCGCTACAAATGGCGCTAATTTACACCTCATTATTGCCCAGGACAAACACTGGTTACCCAATACTTTTTCACACTTACCTATTAAAATGTAAAACCAGCAAATATACAAAACTTATCCATTTACTAAACCAAAATGAAATGGGTTTTGGTTCTGTCATAGATTTTTAGGCGAATCCAAATTTTAAAATGCAAGAACAAACCTGTGATAGCTGAAAACCTTATATTTAGTATCGAAAGGTTGTAAATTAGTTCAGTGGAATATCAGCTAACAATGTTGGTCATAAGGTTTAGGTGACCAATAATCAGTTTCTCGGCCTGTTTCATATTTTAGCCATTATAAAATCAAACTTAGAAAAAATAGTTTATTAATAAATATCAGATTAAGCATTTAAGGCAGGAAAATTTTTCTTTTTTACTGTTTCTAGCTTCTTGTTAGTAAATAAAATAAAACTCAATTAACAAAAAGTTTTAGCTTTCAATTAATCTACTTCATGGTCAAAAGCAAAAACGGGCTGTTGAAAACTCCCGAACAGACCAATTTAATGAAAAAATTCTCGTTTACGCTGTTGCATTTTTTCAATGCCATCTCGTAGTTTCCTAATTTAATCTGTTAGAAATTTGGACAACTCCATAAAGTGCGTAAATTTATGATAGTTTTGGGGCCTTCACCGTAATATTTCTTTCATATTCAGTGGCCAACCCCGATTAACATTATGCTTTGATTGCTACACTTTGTGCTTACACAACATGATGGTTACACCCCCAAAAACGTACACGTTACCTTTCATAGAGTTCTCATCCGGTGGATACTAAAAAATTAATGAAAAGAATAGCATCAAACCAAAAAACAAAAAAAATAAATTTAAAATACACACTTGCGCACGCACGTAGCGACCTACATATAAAATTAAAAAATTTATTGCTTTCGCTGATAGGCATACACAGGCCATTTGCTGCCGGCCCCGCCCACTTGCCACTTGCCGCCCCTTTCTGCTGCGTCACGCAAATTAAAAACACAAAATGCAAAATAAAAAATACTCGAAGGAAAATGAACGAAAAACAAGAAAGAAAGCAGACTTCGGCAGGCCGAAGTTCATATACCCTTGCAGCTATTTCAAGAATTAAATCATTTTGAAAACATTAAATTTATGATTTACTTGCGTATATGTTGAAAAATATTGAAGCAATGATGATTTGCAGCTCAATTATTAGATTGTTATTTTATATATTTTTATTATTTCTATGGGAGCTATGTTATATTTAAAACGTAATTCTGAAATAGTTAACCATTAATATATGTCAAAAAACTAATAGAAAAATTGAAAAACGGCAAAGTTATAATTTGTTTGTATATTTTTCCGATTGTTCCTATGGGAGCTATATGATATAGTCGTCCGATTTTGATGAAATTTAAACCATAATTCTGAAATATTTAACCATTACTATATGTCGAAGAAATAAAAAAAAAATTAAAGAACAGCAAAGTTATAATTTTTTTTTATTTATTTTTTCGATTGTTCTTATGGGAGCTATATGCTATAGTCGTCCGATCCGGCTCGTTCCGACTTATATCCTACCTGCAATAGAAAGACAACTTTTGGGATGCAGCTTCATGCAGATAGCTTTAAAACTGAGAGACTAGTTGGCGTAGAAACGGACGGACAGACGGACTGACAGACGGACAGACGGACATGGCTAGATCGACTCTGCTAGTGATGCTGATCAAGAATATATATACTTTATAGGGTCGGAGATGTCTCCTTCACTGCGTTGCAAACTTCTGACTGAAATTATAATACCCTCTGCAAGGGTATAAAAATATCGGAAATAAATTAAATAAAAGTAATGATTAAGATATGTATTTGCTTACATTTTTATTAAACTTATTTATGATCTTTGCCACGATACTTTTGTTCTGTTGACTCCAATTCATTGATTCCATCAGTATTTCACTTCCTAGCAGCTCGAAAGAATGACTGTTTCTCCAACTCTTTCAATTCCCGTCGAAAGGCTTTCACCTCCTCCTTGGCCACAATTGAAAGGACACTGGGTGAGAGACAATCGTCCTGGGAGCCGAACAACTTCCGCACATCGTCGATCTCGAAACCCTTGAGCAGCACCGTCGATTCCATGGTCAGTAGAACCACTGTCACCGCCGAGTGATTGACTTTCTCCACAATCCAAGCCCGCTCATCGCTCACAGCATTGAGCAGTTTCTGGCAGATTGCATCCACCAGGAATTGCAGAGCTCGAAAGACGGGGAACCAAATGACCACCAATAGCACTTGTATTGTTAGACAAAGGAACGCAAACTCAAGGATTTTAGCCACAACACTTTGAATGATATTTAGGTTGTACTTCAATTTCAATTTATGCAGGAAAATTATGACGAGAATTAAAAAAACAGTTGATTCCGTACTGGCCTCCACCGGATTGTAAAAGAGGCCTATGCAATGGCAAAATATCGAAAAAAGCAGGGCACTAATAAAAGTGGGTTCCATTTTTTGTTTGTGTAAAAAAATTCAAAAATTTACAAAAGAACCGACAATTTTCCTCACTACTCTGTTGGATTGGAGCAGAATTACTGTCACTTTTCGAAGCGGATGTGAATTTATAAACTTGGCCAACTTATGTTTGAACTTTTCTAATTTACAAATAATATCCATTAATGATGGTAATTACAAATCAAATCAAATAATATTAAAATAGCCAAAAATACATTTCACGAGCGTTTTAAATTATAAACGTATTTTATACACAATGAACTTTATGCACAAAGGATTAAATTAAGATCCAAATGATTTTTGATTCTTGAACACAGAATAAACTTCATTTTAGTATTAATATCTAAAATTAATTCATTAATGTGTAAATGAAAAAATTATTTGGATCTTAATTTAATCCTTTGTGCATAAAGTTCATTGTGTATAAAATACGTTTATAATTTAAAACGCTCGTGAAATGTATTTTTGGCTATTTTAATATTATTTGATTTGATTTGTAATTACCATCATTAATGGATATTATTTGTAAATTAGAAAAGTTCAAACATAAGTTGGCCAAGTTTATAAATTCACATCCGCTTCGAAAAGTGACAGTAATTCTGCTCCAATCCAACAGAGTAGTGAGGAAAATTGTCGGTTCTTTTGTAAATTTTTGAATTTTTTTACACAAACAAAAAATGGAACCCACTTTTATTAGTGCCCTGCTTTTTTCGATATTTTGCCATTGCATAGGCCTCTTTTACAATCCGGTGGAGGCCAGTACGGAATCAACTGTTTTTTTAATTCTCGTCATAATTTTCCTGCATAAATTGAAATTGAAGTACAACCTAAATATCATTCAAAGTGTTGTGGCTAAAATCCTTGAGTTTGCGTTCCTTTGTCTAACAATACAAGTGCTATTGGTGGTCATTTGGTTCCCCGTCTTTCGAGCTCTGCAATTCCTGGTGGATGCAATCTGCCAGAAACTGCTCAATGCTGTGAGCGATGAGCGGGCTTGGATTGTGGAGAAAGTCAATCACTCGGCGGTGACAGTGGTTCTACTGACCATGGAATCGACGGTGCTGCTCAAGGGTTTCGAGATCGACGATGTGCGGAAGTTGTTCGGCTCCCAGGACGATTGTCTCTCACCCAGTGTCCTTTCAATTGTGGCCAAGGAGGAGGTGAAAGCCTTTCGACGGGAATTGAAAGAGTTGGAGAAACAGTCATTTTTTCGAGCTGCTAGGAAGTGAAATACTGATGGAATCAATGAATTGGAGTCAACAGAACAAAAGTATCGTGGCAAAGCTCATAAATAAGTTTAATAAAAATTTAAGCAAATATATATCTTAATCATTACTTTTATTTAATTTATTTCCGATATTTTAATTATTATAATTTAATGCAATTAAATTTCAATACTTCAAAGGCTTGCTTTTATACCCTTGCAGAGGGTATTACAATTTCAGTCAGAAGTTTGCAACGCAGTGAAGGAGACATCTCCGACCCTATAAAGTATATATATTCTTGATCAGCATCACTAGTAGAGTCGATCTAGCCATGTCCGTCTGTCCGTCCGTCTGTCCGTCCGTTTCTACGCAAACTAGTCTCTCAGCTTTAAAGCTATCTGCATGAAACATTCCCAAAAGTTGTCTTTCTATTGCAGGTAGTATATAAGTCGGAACGAGTTAGTCGGAATAAAGTTATAATTTTTTTTGTTTATTTTTTCGATTGTTCCTATGGGAGCTATATTATATAGTCGTCCGATTTTGATGAAATTTAAATCGTAGTTCTGAAATATTTAAGCATTACTATATGTCGAAGAACTAAGAAAAAAAATTAAAAAACAGCAAAGTTATAATTTTTTTTATTTATTTTTTCGATTGTTCCCATGCTATAGTCGTCCGATCCGGCTCGTTCTGACTTATATCCTACCTGCAATAGAAAGACAACTTTTGGGAAAGTTTCATGCAGATAGCTTTAAAACTGAGAGACTAGTTTGCGTAGAAACGGACGGACAGACTGACAGACTGCTAGTGATGCTGATCAAGAATATATATACTTTATAGGGTCGTAAATGTCTCCTTCAATGCGTTGCAAACTTCTGACTGAAATTATAATACCCTCTGCAAGAGTATAAAAAGGAACTTTTTAAAATATTACGCTTGGCATTTATTTTTAACAATCAATGCATTTTATGTGTCCTGCAAAAGGGCGTTTGGTGGGCATTACTCGGCAGGGGGTGTGGTTAAGCTGAATACGGGGTGTGTGCTGTAATTTCCATGTAGACACAACAACAACAACAACAACAACAACAGTA